GGATGATTCAGGTAAACTCTACTTTTACTCAGGAGACCAAAGTTCGAGTCCCGTGTGAAAGAAAGTCAAAGGCGACATGTTTTAGGTCAAACAACGTTTTGTAGATGACTTCTGTGATGTATTTATTTTAACCCAAACCACTGTCTTTTCCTAAACCTAACCAAACTACCACCGTTTCACAACGTTTACCACATTTTAAACATCACTTGACTTAGGCAGAGTTCAGACGGCACGACTTTTAGCCTGATGTGTGAGTTTGCCGAACTCCTGTTTCTTATCATTTCCTGCGTCTCTCCTCACGTGTGTTTTCTTGACAAAAAGTGGTTTGGGGACCAGATCAGAGTCATTGTCAGCTGGTGTAGTGTCGCCGATCCGTCACATAGTGTGAACGACCGCAATAATTTCAAGTCTCCTGTCGCAAGACAGCAAGTCGTGCAGTCTGAACAGCACAGCGACCTGCCGACGCCGAAAGTCCCGAAGTCTGAACTGGGCTTTATGTAACGTACTGAAGGTCCGGTACGCCTGTCGCTGGACTGGTAGCGCTCGTACATGTCGTTTTGAGGAAGGGGTCATGTGTGTTGTTGTACTTTCCAACGGACATTTATGTTGTTTTGGGACACTTGACAATCGACCTGTTTTGTCTTTTAGGTAGGAGATGTGTTGATCATGTGTTGATTCCCTTTCACAATAAAGTGTAACCTTGTGAGGACATCGGACATTTTGTTTTTGTCAAAACAATCTTTTAATCAGCTTATTGTTAAAGGAGACCTATTATACTGCTTTTCCAGTCCTATATTGTAGTTCTGTGACACCTGTTTGGCAGCTTTGCATGACTCAAAGTTCAAAGAAATAATTATATACTGGCTCTTCATGTAGGCCTTCATTTCAGCCTCTGTCTGAAACGAGCTGTAGATGCTCCTGTCTCTTTAAGGCCCCCCCTCTCAAAGCCCACTGTCTTCCGATTGGCTAAGACCTGGTTGTTGTTGCTGGGCAGAACAGGCAGACTGAGCGTTGCCGTTGCTTTGGGTGCAAATGACCATATATGGAACAGCGGCTCCGTCTGGCTCCTGGTGTCGTATTACGGAGCCGTTGGTATTAAAAGCAGTTGACAACAGAGCGTTCAGAACAGGATCTGAGGTTTTTGCTCACAGGGATTTCTTATAAATACTTAAACCTCATTTTTTGAAGCTTTGGCCATGTTTAGCATGAACATCCAACATTATAACATTGTAGATAAGATGTGGAAAAGCATAATAGGTCTGCTCTAAAGCTTTCCAAAACGCCTCTCCCCGTGTGGAATATCTCTTGCCAGAGAAAGGAGTTAAGAACACTGAGTTGCTTTTACTTCTTGACTTTAAACACATCACACGCATGATGATTTCTGCCAGTTGGAATGATTTCCTGCTCTGAGATGTTTAATAAACACGGAACGTCTTGACCATCAACCTCTGACGCACCTCTGCACACAGCTTCTCTTAAGTTTTGACCTCTACTCTCGGCTGGATCAGCTGACTACAGGATGCTTGCTTCTGTTTCCTCAAACTGCAGTCCTGTTTTGGACTGTCTTGGCCACCGTACATTTGTGTGACTGGCATCAGGTCTGCCTGCTGGACTCCTCATTATTTGCTTTTCAGAGACGTCTGCGTCTTTTTATATCATTTTGGAAGCCCCTGTACAAAAAGAGGTAGAATGTGTGATTTCAGATCAGAGGAAAGGGTTAAATTTCAACAGAGGTCAAAGGTCAAATTTGGTATTTTTTGGGGGTGTGAACACTTAACGTTTCTGTGGTGAAGAAGAGCGGTAAAGATGTCAGTAAACCAAACTATGCACAGTGCAAACAGGCGACCGTCATCACTGCTGATAAAGTGTAAACAACACAATGTTTTACTAGAGGCCACGAACACAACACGCCACTTACCTGAACGCTACAGACTGGATCTATCTACTCATACAGCTGCATAACAAAGTCAGTGGGAGTCAACAGTAAAGAGTAGAAAGGATAAAAAACTCAAAGCAGATTGTCTCTTCAAGTCGCCCGGAAAGCAAACCGAACCAGAAACTTCCAGTTTTACAGCAACATGAACGTCCGAAGCAGCACGCAGGAGCTCCGACGCAAAAAGAAGGGGAAGAAGAAGAAGCAGGAAAACCAGAGCGAGATGAAGCTGCTGTCTCTCCGCCATGTTATCAAAGTTTAATAAAATACAATCAATCAGCTCCGTCCTGGGCTTCCGAGGAAAAGTTCACCGTCTGTACCAGAGAAGAAGAAGAAGTAGCCGGCGAGGAGACCAGGGTCTCTGTTTGTCCCAGATCAGGACTCTTGTAGTCTTTGTCTTTGACGGTGAGGCGTTCAAACAGATATCAGTCTCATGTTTGGAGCTCAAAAAACCAGAAAGTTATTTCTATGTCTATGTCTGTTTTCGATGCAACATGCTAAGCTAGGCTAACGGCGTCAGTGCTGCGTCTCAATTCACGCCCTCAGTACTGTGTTCACAACAGGAAGTGTGGCAGAATGTACTCATAACCGTCACAAAGTTGAGTGTGGAACGCTGGACACTTCCAACCCGTCCACATCCCAAGACCGCTCGGTGTTGCTTTTTAACACCCTTTAGTGTCTTTTTCTTTTCTTCATGTGTAGGGCGCCGCGGTCAGATAAGCAAGAATAAAAATGCAGCATCCGGTTAGACTTTCAAAATAAAACTAGTGGGTAAGGTAGAATAACGTTTCAATTTGGTTGGCTTTAGACATAGATTGTGGTTTGGGTTATAATAAATATGTTATTGTGTGACTTTTCTGTTGGTGCCAAGCGCGTTAGTACAAGACGCCGAAGCACGTGACAAAGCGTCCATATGTGACGCCCTAGTAGTGTTAATTTTGTCAGCCATTTTAAAATTTAGTCCTGTGTCAAATGTCCTTGTCAGTTTTTGTCATATTTAGTCTGTCTGTAAATTTTAGTTGACTAAAAGTTTGTGTATTTTAGTCTGATTTTAGTCATTAACCATCATTTTAGTCTTTTATAACTCAGTACTTTGGTCGATCTGCTTGAACCAAAATTGAGATGTGATTTGAACATTTGCTTCGTTCTCATTTTTATTGCAAAGGAGACATTAAAGTACCTCAGTTCTCAGGTGCATAGCCTTGATATGCCGCTTCAAGTTTGTAGTGTTTTTTCCAAAAATCTTATAACCACATCAGTGTGCGAACTCTACATGGCTTTGGGGGAGCTCAATTTTTTGTCCCTGTGACGGGGAGGAGGGCGACCAACTGTGATTCTTACTGCTGAATCATTAATAGCAGCAAGCATGTATACGCCAGGTGATCGTTCCCTCTGGCTGAAGTCTGACGCTCCGCATGATCTGTAGAGATTAATATAGAGTTTAATGGCAATAAAGCATGCTGTCAATATTTTAGAGACCCCCCCCGAAATATCATAGCTTTCTAGGTGCCTCTTTCTCCCAAGCATGTTGTGTTCGTCACCAGAGTTCGCATCCTCCACAGTAACGTTTTCCTCGCGCACCAGGCGTCGCCCCGTTCAGCCAGCATTCAAAGCACTGGGAGAAAAAAATACAGCTGAATGAACAAACTGTTCATTTAGAGGGAGAAAATCTGGCCTGTAATATTTTCTCTCCTCATTATACTGACAAAAAGAAAGAGAGATTTTATTAACGTTTTTATTTTATGAATTACATTTTAGTCTCGTCATTTTTCGTCAACAATATTGCGTGTTATTATAGTCACAGTCAGCTTCTGAGGACATTGTCGCCGTCTCGTCTTTGTCTCGTTTTTGTCGGGGACAAAAAGGTTGTTGACGAATATATTTCGTTTAGTTTCGTCTGACGAAAGTAACACTACGCCCTAGGGTGAAAATGGGCTGATGCTTCTCAGTATCAACTGTTGCCATCTTGGTGGAAAGCCTGAGACCATCAACGTATTTTCAAACATGGCAGAAAATGGCGGCATAGGAAGCTGCAGGGGTTGCGATAGTAAAAGTAAAACATTTATTTTTATTCTTTATATATATTTTTAATTCTTTATTAATAAAACTGACTGGAAGTCAAGCCGGCAGATTTACGTTGTCTAGTAATGCCAATCCGCCCGGTTAGAATTCACCATGAAGAAGAAGGAGAACAAGCAGCGTCCAAATGCTGTGATTGTCATTTCCGGGTTGGCGCACCACGTCCTTCGATTTGAGACAATTGTAATGCCGAAATGAACTCACTATGCAAGTAAGTACACCGAGTACTGCATGTTGGTGTAGTGAAGGAAGAACTGAGACGCAGCTCCGGACGCCAGATCTGTACTCAACTCACATACATGAGATTGATGAACTCAAAAAAAGTGAAAAAGTGTATTTCTCAAAATGTTGAACAGTTCCTTTAAAGTGACAGTAAACTACAGACGGGACTAAGTTTGTAACCAAAATAAAGCTGAAGACAAAACCAGGACCAATCAGACTGAGGTTCCGTGATCTGGATTACACTCCTGAATGTAGGAGAATCCGGCACAGTCACTAAAAATGTTTGACCCCCTTTAATCTATTTGATCTGGATCAATGACAACTCATATTAATGCAGCAGAACACTTACAGTCAGGCTGCTGTCATTATTTAGACGCCACTGAAGGTGCTCTGTTATTATAAAGGGCAGGAATTGTTAGACGTGGAGGAAGATTTGTGATTTTTTGATATATAAATGATGTTGACTTGAATAGATCCCTGTGCAGCTGCTACAGATGAAGTGTCTCAAATCTTTTTGATGTTTACTTTGAAAGCTTTAGGAGCCTGCTTGTCCCAGTACACATGAGTTTTTCTGAATCTCTACACCGGAGGTGGCGAGTGCAAAGTTAGCATAGTTAGAATAATAAACCGGTGCAGATGTGAAGGTCTGTGATCGGGCGTCATCATCCAGGTAAGGTATCCAGACACAGATCAATGCAAAGCTTCATCTGGTTGCAAACGGGCTAATTTACACGACACTTCAGTCCGAGAGCTGAACCTCGTTACTGTGGCAAGAAGAGCAACCAAACACAGGAAGAGACGCCGTTTTAGTTTGAGGAGTTTAAGCTTTTCTGATGGTTAGCATGCTTCACAAATGCAGTGGGATATTGTCACATGACATGAAACTGTCATGAGGAGTCTAGTTCAATGATCAGGAGGGCAGAGCCAGCTAACAAGCTAACATGCCACAGAAGTTAAGTCCTGTTCCCAACAGAAAGTTGCCTCATCACTACGTCGTCTTTGCACAATATGTGGAGTTCTCCTGACAAAGCAATTACTACATGGCTCGGTGGTGAGCTAGGTACCAAGCTAACTGCTAACCCGCTACTCACGGCCGCCCGCTAAGCTAGCTGCTACTGTCAGTTAGCAAATTTTGTTTGCTTGGTTTAAAATGCTGCTATGACTGAACTTTAACATGTTAAAGATTCACCGGAGCAGCATTGTGTTTGTTGATGCTGATCCAGCTTCAGGTCAACTCAGGAGTCCAGTAAGTTCTTCGGTTAACCCAAAGTGTTATCTAGCATGCTATCTTAGCTAAGAGATGCTAGCTAGACTGAAGTAGCAAGAGTTAGCAGAAGAAGTCTTTACTGCTGTCTGTAATTCGCGACTTTCAATTATAACAATAAATGACATATTATATGATTAAGATCAGTGTTGGGGAGTAACTAGTTACATGTAATTTCATTACATATTTGAATTAGAAAATAAATGTCTGTAAGAGTTACTGGAAAAACATGTGAAATTAAATTACAGTTACTCCTGAAAACGTTAATGATTACACTGGGGGGTTACATCTGAATATTTTCAGTAATAAGCTCGGCTATATGTTGAATAATATTAATTTTGTTGCTTTGCGTGTTTTTCATGTGCACACTATCTTCCTTTGCTGTTTCCAGCCACAGCTGTTCTGATGCTTCTGATTGGTTCTCCGCCCATCTGCCAGTTTAACTGCCTCTCAAGCTGTCTTTAGAAAATGATTAACAGCCGAAAACATTCATTAGAAATTTAGAAAAGTAATCAAAAAGTACTTAAATTTAATAAGTTATATTACTTTAATAAAGTAATTTAACTATTACATTTTAAATTGCATCACAATCGATTACCTATTACATTTAGAAAATAACCTTTCCAACACTAATTAAGATTGTAATGTATTTTTATAAAGAAAAAGGTGTAATTCTCCAGCAATATGGCAAATTTACCAGATAGAGAAATTGTGAATCAGATTGTTAAAACATTTGTCGTTTTGCTTGCAGCTAGAAAACTAGCATTTTACATGTTTTAACAATTATCTCTAAATACGTCTGTATTTATTAGAAGACAGAAAGAGTCTAAAATCTAAATGATGTTTAAACGAGAGAAGCCTTTCTTTCTGTCCAGTGGCAGCACTTCTTGACGCGCCTAGTTGTTTTTCTTACCACAGCAACAAGAGCAGATTAAATCACTCGTAAGTCCTAATGTGGGACAAGTGCTTTTTGTTTTTCACGTCCTGAATCATCTCCAGCCTTCGTACTGAAACCCTGCAGCTCAACTGTCCAGGCTGCAAAAGTACCCTACAAACCCTCAGTGAGGACATATCTGTTAGCATGTTAGCTGCAGAGCTACAGAAATGTGAGTTGTACTGGTTATGTTAGCTCTGGATGTTACAGATTATTTAGGTTCTGGTGTAATTTGGTCCCAATAAATGATTTTAGAGTTAATGGAAGGCTGAACCTCGTTATTTCTGGGATTTTTGTGTGAAACTGAAGCAGAGTGAAGCGTCTCCGCTCTGTTTGTCAGGAAATCATTGGCAGTGGGCGGTCTTACTGGCTGGCTCCGCCCCCGGCATGAAGCCGTTGCTGAGGGTGTTGGGATTCGGAGGCGTGGCCACCGAGGGCGTGGCCTCAACCCTGGCGGCAGGCCCTACCACGGAGTAGCTCTTCTGCGGCAATCGGGGCTGAACCAGCATGGATTTGGAGACGACGGACGCCTGACGTAGCCCGTCGACACGAAGCGGTGGTCTGATGGGGGCGGGGCCTGTGGGCGTGACATCAGAGGTGGGTGGTTTGGGGCTGCATGGAGGGGAGGGGCTGAGGGCACTTTGGTCGCCGGGCTTTGATCCGTCTTCCTGAGGGAGCTGCTGATCAGGGGGCAGGGCCTCTTTGTCTGCAGGGGCGGGGCTTGTTGACTCTGGGGGTGGGTCCTGCTGCATGCTGCTCTGCCTGGATGTCCCCGAGCCTGGAATCTCGCAGCTGTCAGTACGACGCCGCGAGCCCTCGTGCATCCGACTGGTGGCCACGACGGCCTTCATGGCAGCCTGTTGAAACACACGCATTCACTATTAACATACACACACTAAACATTTCCTTATATAAACACTGCAGTAAAGTTTGTCTCCAGAAACATGTCTTACATTTCTAAGATCAAACTCTAGAAACGTTTCCTACAGCAGGAACAGATCAGTGTTGTGTCAACCCACTGAATCCTTGGCAGTTGTTGCTGAGTCTCCGCTCAATGTTCAACACCGAGATCCGTCCTCACCTTAAGTTTGCGTCGAGCGTTGAACTCCTGTAGTTTCCTCTGGGTGGTGTCCATGTGGGAGAAGCGGGCGGCTTTGCCCAACACCCAGGGGTGGTGCAGAGCCTCTCGGACACTGAGGCGCTTGTGAGGGTCGAGGACGATCAGCTTACTGACCTGCAGACAGATAAACAGAGTCCAGACAAAAGAGTCCAGACAACCTGTCAGGAAGGAATCCTCTCCAGGTAGCACTGATTGTTGGAGAGGTCCAAGACAAGTCTCAAGTCCCTCCAAGACATTCCAGACAATTCAAAGTTAGGTCTCAAGATATTTGAAATAGGTCAAAGTAAAGTGCTTCCAGACAAATCGAAGTCATTCGGAACAAGTTCAGGTCTCAAGCCATTCCAAAATAAATCCAAGTCTTTCGAGATTGTCAACTGTCAAGCCATCATGTCTTGAGACGTTCAGCACAAGTCTCACAGAATAGTTCAACAGGAGTCTCGAAAATTCCGTTTAAACTCCTTTACTACAAGTCTACGGTCTCAAGTCTTTATCCTACTCATTCAAAACAGGTCCAAGTCATTCAACACCAACAAAAGTTGAACATTAACTCAAGAAACAAGTTCAAATCAAAGTTATTTAAGTCAAGTCCAACTCAAGTCTTTAGCCAATAGAGACAAGTTCAGTCATTCCAGACAAGTCTCTAGTCAAGACACGTTTTAAGGTATCCCTAAGGGCAAGTCATACGAGACCAGTCTGAGAAATTCAAAACTAGTCTCAAATAATTCTAAAACAAAGTCAAGCCATTGAAACAGGTCAAAGTAAAGTCTCAAGTCATTCACACTAATTCAAAGACAAGTCTAAAGTAATTCCAGACAAGTACAACTAGAGTATCGAGCCATTTCAGACAAGTCCAAGTCAAGTATCATGTCATTCGGTAATCCAAGCCATTCAAGACAAGTCCACGATTCAAGTAAACCCAGATAGGTTCCAGACATTAAAGAAAAGTAAAGAAGGCAAGTCTAAAGTCTAAAGCAAGTCATTCCAGACAAGTCCAATCATTTAGTCAGTCTTTCAGGTCAGTGACGTTGACACTGACACAACTGAACATTTGGTGCATTCTCACAATCAGGTGTTATATGTAGACACATACAGTTTTTATCAATTTGCTGTCAGAGCTTTTCCACTGTTGTAAGACTGTGTCTGATTAGCTTAGCGTGCTACATGTCAGGATGTCCGGAGGACGAACAGGGGAACTCACCAAATCCTTGGCATTGAGGGAGACCTCGTCCCACCACGGAGACACAAACTCGTAGTCGCAGTTGAGGATACGGCTGTACATGTACTGATCCCCCCTCGGGTCAAAGAAGGGCTCGAACCCACAGAGTCTGGGGAAAAGCTCACAGTTAATGCTACAGGTACTCAAGTTCATAACATGACCAGGGTTCGAGTTACGTGGGAGCTCAGCCCCCATAAGGAGGTCTGAGCTCCCATGGAAGCAGTAAAATCATGCGTCGGTGGGGGTCTCTAATTCATTTGTCAACAACCATTATTTTGAATCACAAATGTATTTATCATTGTAATTAGTACCATTATTTACATTAAAAATATAAACAGACTTAAATTAACATGTTTTCCTAATGAACTACGTTATCCAACGAAGGTTGAGGTCCAGGGCAACTGGACTTTCGTCCTTCATCCGAGAGACGTCTTCAGTTCTGACTGACTGGTAGGGAAACTCTATTTAACCTCAGTGGGGTCGTTTGCCAGGATCTTCGATACCGCTGGTTCGTTAGTGTTCCTGGCTGTGGTAACGACAGTCATCATGGTCGTTAGAACCACCGTGGCCAAGTCTGAACGACCATCGTTGGTATCTTCACCTGAGGCCAATAGGTTACGTTTGTTGAGTTTCCTGGGAAGTGATGAAAGGACAGCATTGTAAGTGGGGGATAAGTGGTGGCGTAGACCCCCTCCCCTGTTCAATGACGGCTTCTCCACCCTGGTGTAGATGCTTCCTTGACACCTCTTTCAAACCATCCATCTTCTCTGTCTAAAATGTGCACCTGGTGGTCCTCAAACGAGTGTCCTCTGTCCTTCAGATGTAAGTAGACTGCAGAGTCTTGACCTGAGGAGTTGGCCCTTCTGTGTTGAGCCATGCGTTTGTGTCGTGGTTGTTTAGTCTCCCCAATATACAGGTCTGTGCATTCCTCACTGCATTGGACCGCATACACTAGATTGCTTTTCTTGTGTTTGGGTGTGCGGTCTTTGGGGTGGACCAGCATCTGTCTTAGTGTGTTCTTGGGTTTAAAAAACACAGGGATGTTGTGTTTGTTGAAAATCCTCCTGAGTTTCTCTGATACTCCAGACACGTATGGAATCACAATGTTGTTGCGTTTGACCTTCTTTTCCTCCTCTGTAGTTTTGTTCTTCTTGGATCTTGTGGCTGTTTTCACAAAGGTCCATTCAGGGTCTCCACAGGCTGTAAGTGCCCCCTTCAGGTGGTTCTGTTCCTTCTCTCTGGCTTGGGCGCTTGTTGGCATGTTGTCCGCTCTGTGGTGCAGGGTTCTGTCGACCCCTAGCTTATGTTTCAGTGGTAACTGTCGTTACCACAGCCAGGAACACTAACGAACCCGCGGTATCGACGATCCTGGCTAACGACCCCAGAGCCTAAGTAGCTGAGTTTCCCTACCAGTCAGTCAGAACTGAAGAAGTCTCTTGGAGGAGGAACGAAACATCTTCTAGTATCTTCAACCAAGTCCAGTTGCCCTTGCATTTTACTCTTTGGCGTACCGGGACTTTTTCTTGCGTACTGGCACACTGTCGGTCCTCTCCTCTGCCCTCGCCATATCAGGTTCTCTGGGCGCTACGTGACGCTCACCTGTTCCCGTTCTCACCTGCCTGCTAATCTCTGTCGGCGGAAAGAGACGAGGGAGAAGAGAAGCTCGGTGCCTCTCAAGCAGCCGTGTGCTGAATGTAGCTCGTCAATGTCACTTTTCGTGAACCGACCAATCACAGCCCGGATGGGGCGGGACATTTAAACATTTTGACAGATAGGTGTCATTTACACTGGGGACGCTGGGGACAGGTCAGACTGTCTCCATCACTTTTTGAAAGCTTTTGTTAAAAAATGTTCTGAAAAACAGCAACAAGAACAAATAAAACACACTATGAACACGTTACTGAAATATAGAAGAAACAAATGTGCATCGTCCAAAAAAGTAACTTAAGCTAAAACAACAAGCTGCTGATTTCTGCTTTATATTCCATTATATTTTTATATTTTGAATTGTCACCTGCCACCTTTTTTGTTTCCCTTCATATAAATAAAGACATTTCCACCATAAATTGTCACAGAAAGTGTCTCCAGAATGCAGGAAATTAAGTGTTTAATGCTTAAAGTCTTTTTTGTTCAAATTACTGTTAGAATATCTTTGCGTCTTGTTCTTGTGACCCAAATGTGTCGTCACACCCCTAATCTGATCCCTATTTATTTATTAATTTATCTCGGCCGGTAACGTTAGTTAGTAGGCTATATTAGAGACCCCCACGAAGCTCAGATTATAACTCGAACCTTGAACATGACTCATGTAAAGCTCTTAGGCTTGTGATTTTGGCAACAACCAAGAATTGAAAGCTTAAGGGATGAATGATCTCCATAAGCTAAGAATGTCACACTTACACTGCAGGTCAAAATGATTAGAACGCCGCCATGTTTGTAGTTCTTCTGTAAATCTAAGTAGTTCAGTGAAAAACCATAAATGAAGTTAAAAACCAAAACAGACATTTTCAGATCTAAAATTAACAATTAAATGAAGGAGTTCATTGTTCATTAAAAATGTTCATTATTTCACTGTAGGATCAACTGATGATCCTACATATATATTTATATATATATCTGGGGTGGTGTTGGTGCAGTGGATAAGACGCATGCCTTTGCTGGGAGAGACGTGGGTTCAATTCCACCATGTGTCCCTGAGCAAGACACTTAACCCCTCGTGGCTCCAGAGGCGTGCGACCTCTATATAGCAATTGTAAGTCACTTTGGAGAAAAGCGTCAGCTAAATGAATAAATGATATATATCATATATATATAGATCACTTCACTGTTAAATTTCAGAGATTTACAATTTTCAGGGATCAATAATGAGTTAACAACTTCAAGTTATTCTGCAGCAGGGGAAGGAAAGTAAACACCTTGAAACAGCTTGTTAATCCACCCTCAGAAGCTTAATTTGTACAATATAAAATATATTATAAATAATCGTAATGAAGGCAGACAGAGCAGCTGGTCATCGGTTGGTCCTTCTGTGAATAATGAACCAAACTCCTTCATTTAATTGTTTATTTTAGATCTGAAAATGTCTGTTTTGGTGACGTAAATGTTGTTTTTAACTTTAGTACCATTTAAGGGTTTTCACTGGACTTGAACTACTTGAAAAATAGCCGTATTCTAACCATTTTGACCGGGTAGTTAATGTCACATTTAAACTGAGCAAATGTCCACTTGCAGAAAAGGTAAAAACCAGCGCAGTGTGTTGTTGTTGACTCAGCTGAGAGTAAACATCAAACCCATTTGAAGGCACCATTAACACATCGCCTTTAATGGCTATTAGGAGACAGGCGGATGATCCTACAACTTTAAATGTAAAATCCGTACTGACAGTAATGAGTCAGTACTGAATCACTTCATTGTGTGTGTTTGTGTGGAGGCTCGGTTGGGAGGGAGGTGTTAAAGGACTCACAGGATGTAGAGGATGACGCCCACTGACCACATGTCCACCTCAGGGCCGTAAGCATTTCCCCGCAGGATCTCAGGAGCTGCAGGCAGAGGAGCCTGTTAGCCGCCAGATGGCTGACAGAAGCTCTAACAGTGAGTAATGTGAAATCCCACAGGGCAGCGGTGGCTGTGAACGCATCACTGACCACTACCACTCATCACAGTAACACAGGTCATTAAAGATGTCTACTACACATATTATACCATCTACTACTGCTACTACACCATCTACTACTGCTACTACACCATCTACTACGGCTACTACACCATCTACTACGGCTACTACACCATCTACTACTCTTACTACACCATCTACTACTGCTACTACACCATCTACTACTCTTACTACACCATCTACTACTGCTACTACACCATCTACTACTGCTACTACACCATCTACTACTCTTACTACACCATCTACTACTGCTACTACACCATCTACTACTTCTACTACACCATCTACTACGACGACTACACCATCTAATACTTCTACTACACCATCTAATACTTCTACTACACCATCTACTACGACGACTACACCATCTAATACTTCTACTACACCATCTAATACTGCTACTACACCATCCACTACTGCTACTACACATCTAATACTGCTACTACACCATCTACTACTGCTACTACACCATTTACTACTGCTACTACACCATCTAATACTGCTACTACACCATCTAATACTGCTACTGCACCATCTACTACGACGACTACACCATCTAATACTTCTACTACACCATCTACTACTGTTACTACACCATCTACTACAACGACTACACCATCTAATACTGCTACTACACCATCTACTACGGCTACTACACCATCTACTACGACGACTACACCATCTATTATTTCTGCTACACCATCTAATAATTCTACTACATCATCTAATACTGCTACTACACCATCTACTACGGCTACTACACCATCTACTACGGCTACTACACCATCTACTACGGCTACTACACCATCTATTATTTCTGCTACACCATCTACTACGGCTACTACACCATCTATTATTTCTGCTACACCATCTACTACGGCTACTACACCATCTACTACGGCTACTACACCATCTACTACGGCTACTACACCATCTACTACTTCTACTACACCATCTATTATTACTGCTACACCATCTAATACTTCTACTACACCATCTACTACTGTTACTACACCATCTACTACGACGACTACACCATCTAATACTGCTACTAGACCATCTACTACGGCTACTACACCATCTACTACTTCTACTACACCATCTATTATTTCTGCTACACCATCTAATACTTCTACTACACCATCTAATACTGCTACTACACCATCTACTATTGCTACTACACCATCTACTACGGCTACTACACCATCTACTACTTCTACTACACCATCTATTATTTCTGCTACACCATCTAATACTTCTACTACACCATCTACTACTGTTACTAAACATCTACTACGACGACTACACCATCTACTACTTCTACTACACCATCTATTATTTCTGCTCCACCATCTAATACTTCTACTACACCATCTAATACTGCTACTACACCATCTAATACGGCTACTACACCATCTACTACGGCTACTACACCATCTACTACTTCTACTACACCATCTATTATTTCTGCTACACCATCTAACACTGCTACTACACCATCTACTACGACTACTACACCATCTACTACGGCTACTACACCATCTACTACTTCTACTACACCATCTATTATTTCTGCTACACCATCTAATACTTCTACTACACCATCTACTACTGCTACTACACTTTCTACTACAGAAACTACACCATTAACTACAGCTACTACACCACCCAGTATTCATACCCATGTAGTACTACAACTCTGTCGCAGTGTAGTGGAGGTGGTAAACTCACCGCAGTACCCTGGTGTACCACAGACGGTCTTCATGGTGACCTGGTCATCGACGATTTTGGAAAGACCAAAGTCAGCTGTAAATAAAAGAAAATCAATTTATTGTTTCTTTAACTGTAGAGGTTTGCAGATGAAAGATAGTTCTTGCATCGACGTGTTTCTGCTGTTTCCTGTTTGTATTTACAGTGAATGAGGGGGTGAAGCAGTGGAAGGTGGAGGCGGAGGAGAATGTGTATCACTGCAGGAGAGTCTCTGAACTAAAGGAAGGTGTTGGCGGAGGAGTCTCGCTGAAGCACAGTGGAGGCTGAATGTGAGCTGCTTCCATCTGTAACTGTTAGCCGGAGGTCCACCGGCCATCTGGAGCTTCTCCTGCTCCGCCAAATAAATGGACCAGACGACAGCGCCGGGCTTCTGTTACACATTCAGACTGAGGGGTCTGTACAAACTAAAGAAAGGAGAACTAGAGACCATCTTGTGATGCCACATCGGTGTGCATGGTGCAACCAGATTTCCTCACTATGACTAACCGTCCTCGCAGGATCATCCTCTAACCTGTTAGCTGTTACATGCAGATGTTTCGCTTTTATTTCCTGGTTTGATACAACAACTGTCCGGCATTAAACACGGTCAGCCATACAGTCACTAAAACAAATGTGGGCCAGGCAGTGATTCCCACAGGATTTTATGAGACTCCGGTGGTGGACCTCGCACCCTCGAGGGGGTAACCCCACCCCAGGGAAACAATTTGTAAACATTAAAGTTAAATGCATTAATCTGGTGCAACCCAAAATCAATCAATCAATCTCTCTTCAGGTCTTCTTGTCTTTGTAAAGAGAGAAATTGATAGAATAAAGTGTCTAACCTGCCTGTCAGCTGCTCTGTGACCTTTCATTTACCAACAATACGTGTGCACTCCAAATTCAGGTACAGCTAGTTTCACGGGTTTGATCCCTTAGTAAACGTCACCGTACTGACGTGTGCGAGCTGACTGCAGCGGGCCAAACACAACGTTAGAGGTCTGTAATGTTATGATGAGAAGTGTGATAATTGTTTCGCTTCATTTTGAAACTATGGCGGAACAAGTTGGACCGTGGCGGGCGCCGTTGTCTCTGTGATTAATGGGAAACACTGGGGCAACGGTCGTCAAGTGGGGGGCAGAGCAAGAAAGTTTATTTAAATAGAACAACTTGTTCATAGAAGCATTTCAGTGTGCTTTATATAGACACGAGCAAAATAAGAAGTATAACAAATAAAAAGTAGGCTACAAGGTAAATGAAAGTAATAAAAATATCTTAAAAGAATAATAAATAGTAGAATAAAAACATGGGGGAAGTTTCGGGACATAACAGCCCGAAGCATCACGTCCCCATCGGGCGTGACTAGAGCTTCACTTCTGGAATGACTGTGGGGTAAGAACAGAGTGCGAGTTTCCTCAATCACAGGCACATGAAAAGAGAAATGGTTTTAAGCTGGATTTAAAAATTTGGGGCACATTTAATATCTTCTGGTGATTTGTTCCAGCTGCGTGCAGAGAAGCAGCTAAAAGCAGCTTCACCGTGTTCAGTTTGGACTCCATGGACCTATGAGCCCTACTCGGTTTATAATCTTTTAACATATCAGTAATGTATTCGCACAAGTGCCGTCAAATATCATTATTATGCAATAACATAAAGTTCAATATCACAAAAGAGATTCTCAGTTTTCTCCAAGTTCCACAGAGGCAGTGATGGAAAGTATATTTACTGAAGTACTTTACTTTAGTATTTCTATTTTCAGCTACTCCAAACTTCTACTCCACTATATCTGAGAGGGAAAATAAATGATGATGTAATATTATTGATCCTGGGGTAAATGAACAAGCTACCCAGCAGGTCATAAAGTCATTAAAAGTAGCTGCTGCAGCATTAAAGGGATGAACACATGAATTAATCAATAATTATAATCCAGTAAATTAATGTATTATATTTCTGAAATGGGCCATTCTTTACTTTTAGTACTTTAAATATTTTTGATTTGAAATTAGGTCTTTTACTTGTAACTGAGTATTTCTAGACTTTGGTACTTCTACTTTTACATATGTAAAAGATGTGAGTACTTCTTCCACCACTAATAAATTTTTTTGTGGCCAGAAAACTTTATTAGCTGCTAATAATTTCCCTCCATCTGTTTGAAACTTAAAAGAAAATTCCCATATTTATCAGCATGTGTATTATTCTCAAATTTGAGAAAAGGTTAATCTGAGAACAATAAACACAATAAAACACGGCTGATGTACACGTGATTACGGACAGTACATGATGTCTGCGCTCTGCTGTAGCAGCTGCAGGCTTTCCAGGCTCAGACTGAGATGATTTCTGTGGCTTTAAAGACTTTTTGGAAAGCTGCAGGATGCTTAAATCCCCAGACCTCTACATTTCTTGTTGTCCACGTTGCCCAAATCTGTGAAACTGAGGCAGTGAGTAAACTCAGCAACAGACGTGGTTACAGCAAATCTGCACAGAAAAAGTCCAGTATGGGAGTAAATCAGAGTCAGAATCATTGATCATGCAGAGACAAATGTATATAATGCAATTAGAAAACACAAAAATCCATAAACAAACTCTCCATGATCCACAAACACGATTAGAACTTGTACTAAAATTTGTAGATTGTTTTGCATTTGTTTCCAGAATTTTGACACAACTGTTTCACAAATTACAATTTCTACAAATCCACTTTTGCAAACAAACACAGTCTAACTTGTATTTTCAAACTGCTGCATGCGGATAAAATTCTGTGCAAAGCTCAACATTCAAGTGTCAAACCTGTGTCTGTGGATCGCTTCCTATTTCTCTACAAATCATTTTCACACTGGTTTACCACAAAGAGTGCGACTACGATCCACAAATGTAGTCGGCCAATCACAAGTATTGCTTCTATGTGATGTCACGTTTGAACATGCCCTTCAAAATAAAAGCTGTAACGTGTCAGAACCTTTACATCAGGGGTCGGCAAATAAATCTGGCCTCGGGCCGAATGTTTTTCAAGCCGTCACACGGCGAGCCAGAGACTCTTTCAAATGTCTTTCAGAACTTTTCAAAATAAAAGCTCTCAAAAAACTCGACATAAAGCATTGCTGCAAAAAACGTGATCGCGCCTTTTTTTGGCGGCATAATCACTTAAGAGGAAGTGATTATGTGAGTAACCTGATCTAGTTCAGCACCAGCCGCTATCAGTTTATTTATTTTTTATTTTTCTGCTATCAAAGCAATTGCAGACCAGTGGACTCGTTTGTCCAGCAGGTGGCGTGTACTCCGTGTGACGCCTCTGCTCTTCAGGGAGGAGACCAGGCAGAGAGTTTGTGCTCAGCCTGTGTATTAGAAGTACCTGGAGAACTTTCAGGGTTCAGGCAATAAACCACCTGACCCATATAACAAACAAACAAACAAAAAAAACAGGAGAACTAAGTAACTAAGTACATTTACTCAAGTACAGTTCTTCAATACAGGTCTGACGTACTAGTACTTTACCAGAGCATTTGTGCAACTTTCTACTTCTTCTCCACATCTCAGAGGGAAATATTGTACTTTTTACTGCACTACATTTGTACATTTACATTTACAAGTTAAATTTGTTACTTTTAAGATTACAAATGTACATATAGATCCTTCCTGTCCTGTGAGAAACACATCTTTCAGCTTTGAGACGATGCATTTTCCAGCTGATCCAAGTTTAAAGAGTTTAGTTAATTGAAGGATTTTCCATAAAGGAACTCTTCATCCTGCAGTTTATCACTAACCCGTCCACATGTTCTACTTCACTCCGAAAAACGTCACATTACAGAAGATAAAGACGCCTCAACGTCTGTTTCCCTTCATAGAAAAACTCTTACATTTGTATGTGTGTTGCTGTCCTGACCACAGGCTGAGTTCAATAAAGTTTCATTCATTTCGTGTCATAATCTGAAATCGTGTCGTGGTGTTACCGATCTTCAGCGGGGCGTCCAGCGACAGGTCGGCGTACAGCAGGTTCTCTGGTTTGAGGTCACGATGCACGACGCCGTTCTCATGTAGATACTGAAACACACAAAAACACAGGTTGAAAACGGGCAGTGCCCTCTAGAGGCCCGGAGGTGGGGGGGGGGGGGGTCTGTGGAGGATTTGGCAGCATGGACTGACAGATGGCCTCTTCCTCCAGCTCCCAGCATCCCCTGCTGCGGTCTGACTCACATCCTCTTATGAGCTCAGCTTCTGTCAGCGAGGAGACCTGAACTCACTTACAAACTATAGAAGCTGATAAATCAGTCAGCGAGATTTATTTATTTTCTCTGTCCAACATTAAACTTAAGTTACAAAATGAAGATTTTCAATCTGTTACTTAATTAATCTGCATCATTGTCATGACAAATATCTCTACTGCGTTTCTTCTGCGTACTGTGTAGTGTGTACTGTGTAGTGTGTACTGTGTAGTGTGTACTGTGTAGTGTGTACGGCGTAGTGTGTACTGTGTAGTGTGTAGTGTGTACTGCGTAGTGTGTACTGCGTAGTGTGTACTGCGTAGTGTGTACTGCGTAGTGTGTACTGTGTAGTGTGTACTGTGTAGTGTGTACGGCGTAGTGTGTACTGTGTAGTGTGTAGTGTGTACTGCGTAGTGTGTACTGCGTAGTGTGTACTGCGTAGTGTGTAGTGTGTACAGTGTACTGCGTAGTGTGTACTGCGTAGTGTGTACTGCGTAGTGTGTAGTGTGTACAGTGTAGTGTGTACTGCGTAGTGTGTACTGCGTAGTGTGTAGTGTGTACTGTGTAGTGTGTACTGCGTAGTGTGTAGTGTGTACTGTGTAGTGCGTAGTGTGTAGTGTGTACGGCGTAGTGTGTACTGTGTAGTGTGTAGTGTGTACTGCGTAGTGTGTACTGTGTAGTGCGTACTGTGTAGTGTGTACTGTGTAGTGTGTACTGTGTACTGTGTAGTGTGTACGGCGTAGTGTGTACTGTGTAGTGTGTAGTGTGTACTGCGTAGTGTGTACTGCGTAGTGTGTAGTGTGTACTGCGTAGTGTGTACTGCGTAGTGTGTACTGCGTAGTGTGTACTGCGTAGTGTGTAGTGTGTACAGTGTACTGCGTAGTGTGTACTGCGTAGTGTGTACTGCGTAGTGTGTAGTGTGTACAGTGTAGTGTGTAGTGTGTACTGCGTAGTGTGTAGTGTGTAGTGTGTACTGTGTAGTGCGTAGTGTGTAGTGTGTACGGCGTAGTGTGTACTGTGTAGTGTGTAGTGTGTACTGCGTAGTGTGTACTGTGTAGTGCGTACTGTGTAGTGTGTACTGTGTAGTGTGTACTGTGTAGTGTGTACTGTGTAGTGTGTACTGTGTAGTGTGTACGGCGTAGTGTGTACTGTGTAGTGTGTAGTGTGTACTGCGTAGTGTGTACTGCGTAGTGTGTACTGCGTAGTGTGTACTGCGTAGTGTGTACTGTGTAGTGTGTACTGTGTAGTGTGTAGTGTGTACTGCGTAGTGTGTACTGTGTAGTGTGTACTGCGTAGTGTGTACTGTGTAGTGCGTACTGTGTAGTGCGTACTGTGTAGTGCGTACTGTGTAGTGTGTACGGCGTAGTGTGTACTGTGTAGTGTGTAGTGTGTACGGCGTAGTGTGTACTGTGTAGTGTGTAGTGTGTACTGCGTAGTGTGTACTGCGTAGTGTGTAGTGTGTACTGCGTAGTGCGTAGTGTGTACTGCGTAGTGCGTAGTGTGTAGTGTGTACTGTGTAGTGTGTACTGCGTAGTGTGTACTGTCTAGTGTGTACTGTTTAGTGTGTACTGTATAGTGTGTACTGTGTACTGCGTAGTGTGTACTGCGTACTGTTTAGTGTGTACTGTGTAGTGTGTACTGTGTACTGTGTAGTGTGTACTGTGTACTGTGTACTGCGTACTGTGTACTGCGTAGTGTGTACTGCGTAGTGTGTACTGCGTAGTGTGTAGTGCGTAGTGTATAGTGTGTACTGCGTAGTGTGTACTGCGTAGTGTATAGTGTGTAGTGTATAGTGTGTACTGCGTAGTGTATAGTGTGTAGTGTGTACTGTTTAGTGTGTACTGTGTACTGTTTAGTGTGTACTGTGTAGTGTGTACTGTGTAGTGTGTAGTGTGTAGTGTGTACTGCGTAGTGTGTACTGCGTAGTGTGTACTGCGTAGTGTGTACTGCGTAGTGTGTAGTGTGTACGGCGTAGTGTATAGTGTGTACTGCGTAGTGTGTAGTGTGTACTGCGTAGTGTATAGTGTGTACTGCGTAGTGTATAGTGTGTACTGCGTAGTGTGTACTGTGTAGTGTGTACTGCGTAGTGTATAGTGTGTAGTGTGTAGTGTGTACTGTTTAGTGTGTACTGTGTACTGTGTAGTGTGTACTGTGTAATGTGTACTGTGTAGCGTTTAGTGTTAGTGTGTAGCGTTTAGTGTGTACTGTGTAGTGTGTACTGTGTACTGTGTAGTGTGTACTGTGTAGTGTGTACTGTGTAGTGTGTACTGTGTAGTGTGTAGTGTGTAGTGTTTAGTGTTTAGTGTGTAGTGTGTAGTGTTTAGTGTGTACTGTGTAGTGTGTGTTGTGTGTTCTGTGTAGTGTGTACTGTGTAGTGTGTACTGTTTAGTGTGTAGTGTGTAGTGTGTAGTGTGTAGTGTGTACTGTGTAGTGTGTAGTGTGTAGTGTTTAGTGTGTACTGTGTACTGTGTACTGTGTAGTGTGTACTGTTTAGTGTGTAGTGTGTAGTGTGTAGTGTGTACTGTGTAGTGTGTAGTGTGTACTGCGTAGTGTGTAGTGTGTACTGTGTAGTGCGTAGTGCGTAGTGTGTAGTGTATACGGCGTAGTGTGTACTGTGTAGTGTGTAGTGTGTACTGCGTAGTGTGTACTGCGTAGTGTGTACTGTGTAGTGTGTACTGTGTAGTGTGTACTGTGTAGTGTGTACTGTGTAGTGTGTACGGCGTAGTGTGTACTGTGTAGTGTGTAGTGTGTACTGCGTAGTGTGTACTGCGTAGTGTGTAGTGTGTACTGCGTAGTGTGTACTGCGTAGTGTGTACTGCGTAGTGTGTACTGCGTAGTGTGTAGTGTGTACAGTGTACTGCGTAGTGTGTACTGCGTAGTGTGTACTGCGTAGTGTGTACTGCGTAGTGTGTAGTGTGTACAGTGTAGTGTGTAGTGTGTACTGCGTAGTGTGTAGTGTGTAGTGTGTAGTGTGTACTGTGTAGTGCGTAGTGTGTACTGTGTAGTGCGTAGTGTGTACTGTGTAGTGTGTACTGCGTAGTGCGTAGTGTGTAGTGTGTAGTGTGTACTGCGTAGTGTGTACTGCGTAGTGTGTACTGCGTAGTGTGTAGTGTGTACAGTGTAGTGTGTAGTGTGTACTGCGTAGTGTGTACTGTGTAGTGTGTACTGTGTAGTGCGTAGTGTGTAGTGTGTACTGCGTAGTGTGTACTGCGTAGTGTGTACTGCGTAGTGTGTAGTGTGTACAGTGTAGTGTGTACTGCGTAGTGTGTAGTGTGTACTGCGTAGTGCGTAGTGTGTACTGCGTAGTGTGTACTGCGTAGTGTGTAGTGCGTACTGCGTAGTGTGTACTGTATAGTGTGTACTGTTTAGTGTGTACTGTGTAGTGTGTACTGTGTAGTGTGTACTGTATAGTGTGTACTGTTTAGTGTGTACTGTTTAGTGTGTACTGTATAGTGTGTACTGTGTACTGCGTAGTGTGTACTGCGTAGTGTGTACTGTATAGTGTGTACTGTTTAGTGTGTACTGTGTAGTGTGTACTGTGTACTGTTTAGTGTGTACTGTGTAGTGTGTACTGTGTACTGTGTAGTGTGTACTGTGTACTGTGTACTGCGTAGTGTGTACTGCGTAGTGTGTACTGCGTAGTGTGTAGTGCGTAGTGTATAGTGTGTACTGCGTAGTGTGTACTGTGTAGTGTGTACTGCGTAGTGTATAGTGTGTAGTGTGTACTGTTTAGTGTGTACTGTGTAGTGTGTACTGTGTAGTGTGTAGTGTGTACTGTGTAGTGTGTACTGCGTAGTGTGTACTGCGTAGTGTGTAGTGTGTACGGCGTAGTGTATAGTGTGTACTGCGTAGTGTGTAGTGTGTAGTGTGTACTGCGTAGTGTATAGTGTGTACTGCGTAGTGTATAGTGTGTACTGCGTAGTGTGTACTGTGTAGTGTGTACTGCGTAGTGTATAGTGTGTACTGTGTAGTGTGTACTGTGTAGTGTGTACTGTGTAGTGTGTAGTGTGTACTGTGTAGTGTGTACTGTGTAGTGTGTACTGTGTAGTGTGTACTGTGTAGTGTGTAGTGTGTAGTGTGTAGTGTTTAGTGTTTAGTGTGTACTGTGTAGTGTGTAGTGTGTAGTGTGTTCTGTGTAGTGTGTTCTGTGTAGTGTGTACTGTGTACTGTGTACTGTGTAGTGTGTAGTGTGTAGTGTTTAGTGTGTAGTGTGTAGTGTGTTCTGTGTAGTGTGTACTGTGTAGTGTGTAGTGTGTAGTGTGTAGTGTTTAGTGTTTAGTGTGTAGTGTGTAGTGTGTAGTGTTTAGTGTGTACTGTGTAGTGTGTGTTGTGTGTTCTGTGTAGTGTGTACTGTGTACTGTGTACTGTGTAGTGTGTAGTGTGTAGTGTGTACTGTGTAGTGTGTAGTGTGTTCTGTGTAGTGTGTACTGTGTACTGTGTAGTGTGTACTGTGTACTGTGTAGTGTGTACTGTGTACTGTTTAGTGTGTAGTGTGTAGTGTGTAGTGTTTAGTGTGTACTGTGTACTGTTCTGTACTCGGCCTGCTGGTGTTCCTCTTTAATGACACTGCAGCGTTTCACTGCATATGAGAGTGAAAACGTGTTGAAGGAAACACGTTGTCAACACGTCCGCCTGGAGGGGTCGCCACCCTGAGTTTGAGAAACTGGTGGAAAAAAGACATTGATGTGTTCGGGGGCTGCAGGAATTTTCTGTGCTGCAGATTAACGCCACACATATCTGATACAACTGTACCGGAATCTGAACACACACACGCAGAAACACAAACAAACATAAACACACGCAGATATAAACACACAAACATACACAGGCGTATGTTTGCCTGCGTGCTGATGTAGGTCAGCTGTGGTCAGTGTTTCTGTGTGTGCGTGTTTCTGTGTGTGCGTGTTTTTGTGTGCGCGTGTTTCTGTGTGTGTGTTTCTGTGTGCGCATGTTTCTGTGTGTGCGTGTTTCTGTGTGTGCGCGTGTTTCTGTGTGCGCATGTTTCTGTGTGTGCGTGTTTCTGTGTGTGCGCGTGTTTCTGTGTGTGTGTGTTTCTGTGTGCGCGTGTTTCTGTGTGTGTGTGTTTCTGTGTGTGCGTGTTTCTGTGTGCGCGTGTTTCTGTGTGTGCGTGTTTCTGTGTGTGCGTGTTTCTGTGTGTGCGTGTTTCTGTGTGTGTGTGTTTCTGTGTGTATTAATCCTCTCTGCTTTTAATCTGTTCAGCAGCAGGAAGGAAGCTGCTGTTACATAAGAGACTGCAGCGCTGCTACACGCTGCCACTACAGCGCTAACACCTGAAACACCTGCAACCGACTACAGCAACCGACTACAGCAACACCTGCAACTGACTACAGCAACTACAGCAACCGACTACAGCAACCGACTACAGCAACACCTGCAACTGACTACAGCAACCGACTACAGCAACTCCTGCAACCGACTACAGCAACTACAGCAACACTGCAACCAACTACAGCAACTACAGTAACACATGCAACCAACTACAGCAAACTACAGCAACACCTGCAACTGACTACAGCAACTACAGCAACCGACTACAGCAACACCTGCAACTGACTACAGCAACTACAGCAACCGACTACAGCAACCGACTACAGCAACACCTGCAACTGACTACAGCAACCGACTACAGCAACTCCTGCAACCGACTACAGCAACTCCTGCAACCGACTACAGCAACTACAGCAACACTGCAACCAACTACAGCAACTACAGTAACACATGCAACCAACTACAGCAAACTACAGCAACACCTGCAACTGACTACAGCAACTACAGCAACCGACTACAGCAACACCTGCAACTGACTACAGCAACTACAGCAACCGACTACAGCAACACCTGCAACTGACTACAGCAACTACAGCAACCGACTACAGCAACTCCTGCAACTGACTACAGCAACTCCTGCAACCGACTACAGCAACTACAGCAACACTGCAACCGACTACAGCAACTACAGCAACACTGCAACCAACTACAGCAACTACAGTAACACATGCAACCAACTACAGCAAACTACAGCAACACCTGCAACTGACTACAGCAACTACAGCAACCGACTACAGCAACTCCTGCAACTGACTACAGCAACTACAGCAACACGTGCAACCAACTACAGCAACTACAGAAAGACATGCAACTGACTACAGCAACTACAGCAACACCTGCAACCAACTACAGCAACACATGCAACCAACTACAGCAACTACAGCAACTCCTGCAACCAACCACAGCAACGCCTACAACTGACTACAGCAACTACAGCAACACCTGCAACCGACTATAGCAACTACAGCAACACCTGCAACCAACTACAGCAACACCTGCAACCGACTACCGCAACTAAAGCAACAGCAACACCTTCAACTGACTACAGCAACTACAGCAACACCTGCAACCAACTACAGCAACTACAGCAACTCCTGCAACCAACCACAGCAACGCCTACAACTGACTACAGCAACTACAGCAACACCTGCAACCGACTATAGCAACTACAGCAACACCTGCAACCAACTACAGCAACACCTGCAACCGACTACCGCAACTAAAGCAACAGCAACACCTTCAACTGACTACAGCAACTACAGCAACACCTGCAACCAACTACAGCAACTATAGCAACACCTGCAACCGACTACAGCAACTACAGCAACATCTGCAACCAACTACAGCAACTACAGCAATACCTGCAACACCTTCAACCAACCACAGCAACACCTGCAACTACAGCAACACCTGCAACCAACTACAGCAACTACAGCAACACCTGCAACCAACTACAGCAACTACCGCAACACCTGCAACCAACTACAGCAACTACAGAAATACATGCAACTGACTACAGCAACACCTGCAACCAACTACAGCAACTAGAGCAACACCTGCAACCGACTACAGCAACTAAAGCAACAGCAACACCTTCAACCGACTACAGCAACTATAGCAACACCTGCAACCGACTACAGCAACTACAGCAACACCTGCAACCAACCACAGCAACACCTGCAACTACAGCAACACCTGGAACCAAGCAAAGCAACTACAGCAACACCTGCAACCAACTACAGCAACTACAGCAACACCTGCAACTGACTACAGCTGATCCGTGCAGAACCCAGCTGATCTGTGCAGAACCCATCTGATCTCTGCAGAACCCAGCTGATCCGTGCAGAACCCAGCTGATCTGTGCAGAACCCAGCTGATCTGTGCAGAACCCATCTGATCTCTGCAGAACCCAGCTGATCCGTGCAGAACCCTGCTGATCTGTGCAGAACCCATCTGACGCCAGTGGGCATTAAAATGAAGGGCATTGGGCCTTGTTTCCCCTGAGCTGGTCTTCTCAGGCAGAGCTTCCTCCCACCCTGCTTCATTTGACAGAACAGCAGCTGCTCTAAAGCTTCTGACGATCAATCAGAAGATTATTTTCACTCAGACTGGTAATAATCACATGTTATGATTATCTCTGACTTTGTTAATCAATTACAGTGCTTTTCCTGTCGCTGCGTATTCGGCCATGTTGCTGTGAAAAGCCCGGTGTTGCGTAAGCATGTCAGTGAACGCCTCGTGTGTTTTTAATCATCAACACGTTGCCATTTAAATATGATTTTGTGGCACTTTCACGTTTGATTAAATCTGCAAAGAAACAGGAAGGCTGTGATTCATCAGCTGGAGGAGGAAGAACTCCTACACAACACAAAATCTGCTTCTGAACAGCAGCAGGAAATCAGTACAGACTTCTGTCAGAGCAGAACCATGGCAGAGGTTCCAGATGGATCGGTCCAGCCTAGCTTAGCACAGAGACTGAAAGCAGAGGGAAACTGTTAGCCTAGCTCCATCAAAAGAGAAGAAAACTTCAAGTCTGTCTGATTCACGTGTTGTATCTTGTTAGCTCACGAGCTAATCAGCTAGAAGGTATTTCTGAGCTAACAGGAAGTTAACAGAAGCTAACTCTAAGATAATAAAACCTAGAAGATAACTCTGTTGTAAAACTGGTTTTGTTGGTGTTTTGATGCTTTTTAATCTTTATAAGACTTGATTTGATCTCTAAGCTAACAGCTAACTCTTAGCTGAGAGGAACTCAAAGATCTCTCTAATCTGACAGCAGCTGACGTCTCTGTGCCTCAGATGTAAGAACAACATCAGGGGAAAGAAAGTTTGAGAGCAGCTGGTTTATGATCTGTGGTTTAGCGTGAGAGACTGAACAGAGACGGAGGAAGTGAACAGTAATCTAATGATTGAAGGGACGGGTGGAGCTGGAGGATCCGGTCACAGAAGTGGCTGCTTTGTGATGAGAAGCAGAATCTCAGACGGCGCCGGATTTCCCGACAGTGACAACAGACACTGAACACAGCAGTCTTACCGCCACGGCCTCCAGGATCTGTTTGATGACGTGAGCGGCGTCTCGCTCGCTGTAGTAACCACGCTCTACGATCCTGCAACACACACAGAGAGAGGAACAGGACGTAACCTTCACCAGAGGGGACCAAAGACCGGTCTGGCCCGGACGTGGATCAGGTTTCAACTCCTCATTATTCTCCTGGGCACTTTAATCTGCTGAACCCTCAAACTCATGAAGATAATTCTGTATTTAATTGCGGCCTAAAAAACAGATCTCTCCTCAGTCTGTTCCCAACAAGTCTTTATTTTCTTATTTTAAAAGGGCCAGTGCTTTAGCCAGAAAGCTAATTTCCGTCTGTTGTCCCTGGCAGGTCGTTTCAAAGGTCAACATAATAAAACAATAGAAAGAATAATACAATACACCACAATAAACAAGCTATGCAGATCATGAGCTAGCTACTACAGTAAATCTGTTATAAAGTGCGAGATGTTAAGTTATGCAGTTTAAAGCGCTTTTCTATGCTTTAAGTGCAATTTAATGGTTTATTTTAAATCTGTGTGGAAGTGAGTCTGTAGCCACAAGCTGCTCCTTAGCAAGTAAATAAGTACATTTTTATTTATATAGCACCTTTTTAAAACCCATGTTACACAGTGCTTTCCAGAGGGGATGGGAGGTAAACACAATAAACACAAAGACAAACTAAAACAGTTTCATCGCTTACAGAAGGTTAAAATAAATGTTACAACAGCAGACAATTCAGTTCAACTCTCTAAAGGGACAATTCACAATAAAAGGAATTGCACTTTTCCCATGGAGCAGGTCCAGGAAGACTGACAAGTGTAATATTATCTGCTTCAATACTGTAGTTTTTCATCAACTCTGCCAGTACTCATTGTTACTGTTAGTATTTAATTCACCACTTTTTATCATATATTTCTGTTAATACTGTAAAATACTGTACATATCCACACTGCTTTATATTTATATTTGTATATTTTGTTATATTTTACTATTTATTGACATAAATGCAATATAAGATCCATACCTGTGTTCTCAGTGGTGTATAAAGACCTTCCATAATGAACCGTTATGTTTTTATTACCTTAGAATGAGACATGTATATCTGCATAACCGCGGGCACCCCCTGCTGTGGACAGCGCTGTATTTTGTCGTCATGATTCTACAATAGCCGACAACGGACAATCTGTCTGTTTTCTGCTGGATAGTTAATTAACTTAAGTTTGTCAGACTTTAGCTTGAAGCTGGCCGTGAGGTGTTTTCCCTGTCAATATGTAGTTGCGTTAATTTCATGGCGCCTACTTATTCTCCAGCCTGTGGTTTGGCTTGTGGTGTAAAATATGTTGTTGGATTAGTTTCATGTAGTGACTCTCTCTCTCTCTCTCCAGCGCTCTGTTTGGGTTTTGTTACGTTCGTGACACAATCAGCTGATCACTAATTGGCAATAAAACGGCAGCTTCCAGCATCGGAGCTCAGATCAGCAGCTAAACATTTAATGCGCTGGTAGAAAAAACATGTAGTTAGATTGTAACTTCATGTAGTTCTTCTCCAGACTCTGTTATGGCTTTGTTACGTGGACAGAAATGTGCCGTTACCTTCGTGAGACAAACAGCTGATGAATATTATTGGTAATGAAACAGAAACAGCAGGGAAGCTCAGATCAGCAGCTAAACTTCACGTCTTACTGCCCTGGTGGAAAACATGTATTTCTTTTTACTGCTAATGGTGATATATAACAAGACCGTGTGTCTATCAAGTGACCAATAATGAATACTTTCCGAATTTGCATTAAAAAAGGTGTTTTTTGGATATTGCTTCCCACTGTGCACACAAATGTGTAATTTGTTCTTTCACATGCTAAATTAAAAACGTTGCACTGTTTTACCACAAGCTGAAATTATGGCTGTCAGTACTACTTTGTGTTTCCGTTGTATTTTAAAAATTAAAAAAATACATTTTGGTAATATTTGCAGATTACTTATCTAATTAAGCAAAGTGAGAGGAGCCTTAATCCTCCCCAGCCAATGACTTTGTAAACTTTATATGAGCTTATAATGGACTGTGGTGCAGAAACAGTGAGGCTCACATTGTATCTGTCAGTGGTCAGACTTGATGCACTAGATGTGATAGTGTTTGAGAATTTCTTAGTCCAGATGAGCCAACCCTCCCAAGATGTAAAATAATGTATTACAGGAGTGTGAGACATCATGCAGCACTTTATTTCTTCATGTGGATGGAAAAAACATTTAGTTTTACTGAATAATTAAGTAAATATAATGTCTTAATTTATCTGTCTAAAGAAACCTCATTTCTTGACTGGCTACACTCTGCTATCTCACAGAGGACATCTTTTGTCCTGTCTCAGGCACCGTAGCTATACAACTCACTTGGATGGGGGAGGGGTGGGGGTGCAATTTGCAACCCTCACCACTAGATGCCACTAAAACTTACACACTGAACCTTTAAGCCAAGGACCCCTAAATTATTTGATAAAACTTTATAGGATTTTTGCTTTTAGATGTTTTATTACAGAAAGATAGTCACACATTCTGTCACATTATGGGTAAAACTTATAGAATTAAAGATTTTTTTAAATTGTGCCAAGCTTTCTTTTAAATTACAATTTCAAAAAGCTGCTTTGAGAACCACTGGCTGAAGCAGTTCACTTAAATACTCTGAAGCCTTATAGAGACGAGGAGATCTGGGATTGGATCCCAAATTTAATCGGAAGCGAGTTTAGCGACATCAGAATCGGGGTGATGTGAGAACGATTTGAGGTCTTAGTGACGTCCTGTTGCAGAGTTTTTGGACTAACTGCAACTGTAGTAGTTGATTGATTTTTCTAACTAACACAATTTAATAATATAATATAATAAGACGTAATCGCCCATGTGGGTATCAAAACTTTGCAGCTGTGGTTTGTGGAACGGTCAATAAAAATGAGCGAATTAACTTGATTTATCTGACAGCAAAAATGTCCAAGATTACTGTCAGCAGTAAGTTTTCCTCCAAATGCAGCACAAATTTAAACAGTTTACAGAAACTCATAATCAACTTTAACTTGATAAACAGCTGATTCTCCCATCGCTGCAGGTGAAACATTGCAGAAGAAGAAGAAATACACAGCATTGAAAGAGCTTCAGTGAAAACTCAAACGATGGAAAACCATGTGGAGACATTTCTGTTGTGTTAATGTGAGGAAGATTACAACGCAGATTGAGACTGTGAATAAAAACTGGTGCATGGAAACGCGCCTAGTAACACTGGAGAGTTCGAAGCAGATAACGGCAATATGAGTGAGTTACATCAGATGTTAAAGAAGCTTCTGTCATTTCTTAAACATGATGAAAGCGTAGGCCTGCGTAGTGTACATGTAAGCTCATTTTACGTGCAGCGAGACTGAGCTGTATAAATAAAACTTACCTGTCGAACAGCTCTCCTCCTGTCACCAGCTCCAGCACCAGAGCGATGTCAGTGTCCGTCTCAAAGATCTCCTTCAGCTGGATCTGAAAAGAAGAAAAACATCTTCTGCATAACTTTGTAAATATAGATGTTCTGTTTTACACATGTTTAAAACAACCAGAGACATAAAGACAGAACTAGTGAGACAGTTAATGTGTTGCTGGCTGTCGTGCAGCTTTCTGAGCTCAGGTCGGAGAACCAGAACCAGTTCTGACGGAGAACCTCAGGTTTGCTGAGAACGTGCATACATCATCACACGTGTGCAAAATTTCATACATGGCGGAACAGATTGAGCGCCACAAAGTTTCTGAAGTTTACAAAAGACAGTGGAGACGCAGTGAAATGTGAAGGTGGTCGAACTTGACGCAGCGTTTCCTGCAGCAGGAATAAAAACATGTTGCTAATGCAGATAACCCTACAGGTAACGTTCAACTGCATGAAGACAAAGAAAGCATTTATATTTTACAGCATTTTCCCTTTGAACAAAAAAACTTAATGATTAAAGACAGTGAAATGAGTGCTGTGTTGATTATTAATTCTTGTGACCAAGCAGGAACCTGCGGGTCTGAAAAGTGAAGCCAGCGCTGAAGCACCTTAAACCTGCGTTCTCAGCCTGCAGAAAGAAGTCTCTGAGAAAATGTTTCTACTTGTCAGCTGATTTATTCCCTCAGTAAACACTTTCCTGATGAGTTTCTGGTCTCAGTCGCTAGTTTCAAGTCTTCTTCAACACAGCATGATGTTCATTTAGTAAATTATGGTCCCATTTAGAGGAACAGAGACCAGGAAGCAGGGGAGGCTTTAGGGCGGGGCTACAAGCTGACTGACAGGTCGTTACCATGGCGACCTGTCAGTCAGGATAGAGGCGACTCGTATCCGCTGCTCTGTGAACATTTAACCAGCGCCGCTGAAAAAGCTCATCAGGAGTCGGCTGCTCATTTTTCAGTAAGAACGTTTTGTTTGAAGGTTGTTTGTCGCTAGCTAAAATTAGCCTCCCAGCTAATATCACAGATAACATGAATTACAGATGCACCTTGCTAACCAAGCTAGCTAGCTCCACCCTCTTTTTAAATATAAGATCATGATTATTACTTTATTATTATTAACCTCGAGAAAAACTCAAAAGGGCAGGGAAATACACACGTACTGTAACATTTTATATTTATGTAATATAAATATATAAAATAGCCCTGCGATTGACTGGTGACCTGTCCAGGTTGTACCCCGCCTTTCGCCTGATGTCAGCTGGGACTAGCTCCAGCCCCCGCGACCCTGTACGCAGGACAAGCGTTTGACGATGGATAGATGGATGGAAATATATAAAATACACATAAAACATATAAAATAACCCTGTCAGCTCCTCCTGAGCCACAGCCGCTCAATTGATCAGAGAATCAGTGAGAAACATACTTACGATATTTGGGTGGGAAAGACGCAGCAGGACGCCAATTTCAGTGCGAACGATTTTCTTGTCGATCTGCGACACAAGAAACAACATGAGATCGAACATGTGATGTGTTCAGATGTTCAAACACTGACAGGAAGTGAACACAAACTGTCCAATAACACAAACTGAGTGAAGAAACACGTCACATTTATCTTTTACAGTAACCATTAATAGTATAGATCAGTTTCATCTCCGTGCGGGCAGTGCAGAGTGTCTGTAGGTCCAGGGCATGGTTAGCCTAGCTTAGCACAAAGACTGGAAGCAGATGGAAACTGCTAGCTTTTGTGTAACTTTTTTGAAATGAAGACAAAAACTTTACTTATTTAATTATGAGTGTGTAAGCATATGCTGTATCTCATTAGCCAACATGCTAATCCCCTAAATTTACAGTATGAGTCAGCTGGGTTTGATAAAGATACAACATGTAGCCTAAATCAGAGTTTAACACAAAGTAGAGTTAAAGTTACATTAGTGTTGTGGTAGTTAGAGTTAGCTTCTAGGTCATGTTGTTTTAGAGTTTGCTTGTAGGTCCAGTTAACCTATGAGCTTCTGGGCCCAGTTACCTTAAGCTGATGATACACGGGGCAACTTTTTGAGCAATCTTGCTAGTGGCAAGTCCGACTATGTTTTGAACGGTGCGGGGCGGGTGGCGGAGTGGTGGGAGAAGGATATTACGGTAGTAATCTTTACTCTTTACCATTTACGACAACATTGCCCTGCACGATTGCTCTAAAAGTTGCTCTGTGTATCATCAGCTTTAGAGTTAGCTTCTTGGTCCTGTTAGCTTAGAGTTAGCTTCTTGGTCCTGTTAGCTTAGAGTTAGCCTCTAGGTCTACTTAACTTACGGTTAGCTTATTGGTCCTGTTAGCCTCTGTCTTTTTAGCTTCGAGTTAGCCTCGTGGTCCTACTATCCTAGGTCTTGTTAGCTTAGAGTTAGCCTCTAGGTCTTATTATATTAAAGTTAGCCTCTAGATCTTGTTAGCTTGGAGTTAGCTTCTAGGTCCTGTTATCTTAAGAGTTAGCCTCAAGATCCTGCTATCTTAAAGTTAGCCTCTAGGTCTTGTTAGCTTAGAGTTAGCCTCTATGTCTTGTTAGCTTGGAGTTAGCCTCTGGGTTCTGCTATCTTAAAGTTAGCCTAGCAGTTAGGCTAGCAGTTTCCTCCTGTTTCCAGAAGTTGTTAAGCTAGGAGAAACACTTCCAGGAACCATGTCTGTGCTCCTGACCTCAGCTTCCTCCGAACACTGACCGTTTTCTTCAGGACCTTGAGGGCGAAGGGCTTCTGAGTCTGTTTCTCCTCACAGCGATACACGATGGACGTCGCTCCTCTGTAAGAAAACACAAAACAAACAAATGCAGCTTTAAATCTGCACGCTGTCCTGACGGCATGCGTTTGTGCTGCTGTAGACAACATGTCAGGAATGTGGGGCTGTGGAGACCCTAGCACAAGACTGGACTCAGACGTACAAAATTAATGTTTCTTCCATATGTGCATTTATTTTAACAGTTGTTCTTAGCTTCTATATATATTTTATTATTATTATTATGGACATGAATGTGTGTAGTTGTGTTTTGGCACTCCAAACTTCGTGGTATGGTTTTTAATGATGCAATGACAATAAAGTTTATTCTTTAAAACCAAGGTGTTCGTAAAACAGGTCAAACTGCTGGTTTTACCAACCAACAGTGTTGTTAGTCTATATATCAATATTTTTTTGAGATACTTACAATGAACTCCCCCTTCAAACCAATCACTATTGGTTTGCATAAAAAATATAACTACCGGTTCACCAGTGTGGGAACGCCGTCACAGACACCAGGGCCCTGTACCATGAAGCGAGTTCAATATACTCAGGATATCTTTTGTTATCTGGCTCCACTAACCCTTACAACAGGGATCGGGATAAGGAGTCATACAAAGCTGGTCATCAACTCGGTAAGGCAACCCAGGGTTTCCCAATCCAGCCAAGAGTGCCTTCACATAAAAGAGGCGGAGTTAGCAGCAGAGGACCAATCGCAAAACAAATAGACTTAGTTAACTGACACATGCAGGAGGACAGAAAATCACTGAGAGTGTGAATGCCTAAATGTGTTGATTTGATGTGTTCTTATGGCGTGTAACTCCCCCCCATTACCTGGTAGCAAAAGGTGGGCGCTACAAGACCAGTGTCTGTAATTTAAGATACTAACCTAAAATAAACACATTCATATTAAACTTAATTTCAGTAGGGCTACCAAACTAGCTGCTCATCATATTCATCCTCACATCAGAAACTCTGTAGAGCAGTTTGTCCCTTTGGGCTACTGTAGAAACATGGCGGACCCGCAGCGTATGTAGATAGAAATGTCTCATTCTAAGGTAATAAAAACATAATGGTTCATTATTGAAGGTCTTTATACACCACTGAAAACATAGTTTATATATAAATATAATATAATATCTTATATTGTATTTCAAAAGATCCTCCTAAATATTACACACTGGCCCTTTAAATAAAAGGAGGTGAAAAGTTTTTAAAGTATAATTTCTCTAAAAGTCAAGACACATGTCGGACACATGATTAATTTTACAGCTGCAGGAACCGTCTCCTTGTTTATTCGTCATCCTGCAAAAGTCATGTTGACACAACAAAAATACAAATAAGACTGCGTGTGAACATGAGTGTGTGTGTGTACTTGTACTCCCTACAAAGCGAGGACCAGAACAAGATTTTAACCAACCTAACAAACATTTTTGGGAAGTGAGGACATTTTGGCCGGTCCTCACAATGTCAAAGGCTTTAAGACTTGGTTAGACTTGGTTGTAGGCGTTAGAGTAGGTCGGCATTGTAGTTGTGATGGTTAAGATCAGGGTCCACAGAACGCATTATATCACCGACGGTCCTCACAAAGATAGAAGTACAAGGATGTATGTGTATGTGTGTGTATGTGTGTGCGCGTGCGAGTGTGAACGTGAGCATGAGTGTGTGAGTGTGTGTCGGGGGGGGTGTATCTGTTATTCTGCTGGGACAGATGGAGGAAACAGATCCATCTGAAAAGCAACCCCACGCACGCACGCACACACACACACACGGTCCTGGCTGGTCTCCGTGGCAACAGGACACCTGGTAACGGCGCTCACAAGTTTCACTGATGCTGACATCATTTTTACTGTTTCCACAAAGCCGTTAGTGTCGCTGTTGTTGTTTACTGAAATAACGACAATACTGTGTGCAAACACCCAGTACACAACACAAACACACACAGTACACAAGCACAAACACACACAGTACACAAGCACAAACACACAGTACACAAGCACAAACACACACAGTACACAAGCACAAACACACACAGTACACAAGCACAAACAGTACACAAACACAAACAGTACACAAACACAAACACACAGTACGCAACACAAGCACACACCATACACAAACACAAGCACACACCAACAATGAACAAAATCTTCAGCTCCAACAGACGGCCCTGTCCTGTGGAGCAGGAAGTGAGGTCAGCGAGGTCACTTCAGGTTTCCAGCACCATGACGGCGTTCACGTCTTCTAACCGGGTACATCGCCAATGTAACTGACGCTGGCCGGCTAACCTGTTATTTACACAATACTAACGTTTATATTAATGCGCTCATGGCTGTGTTGGGAAACTCTGGGTTGACGTAGCGAGCTGATAGCCAGCGTCATGTGACCGCTGAGCCTGATCGATCGTTAGCGAAGCCAGATAACGAACAGATACCCCGGGTATGTGTTGGACTCGCTTCGTAGCACTTTTAGCTCCGGTTTGGTTCATGTTCACACTCATTTATATACAAACAAACCAAGAACATAAAGTCATGTGACTGACAGAAGTTGCTGATTGGATAATTTTGGTGATGGCCACTTTATTAGATACACCTGTAAAACCGAATGCAGTCATGTTAACGTGTCCAACACTGTTGTTCATGACATTCCCCTCAGCCTCAGCTGGACTCTGCGTTTACTGCTAATTAGCTAATGTTAGCATGCTAACACGCTTAGCTATAGTGGTGAACATGGTGAACATGATAAACGACAGCATGGGACTATCCAGCATACCTGTCAGCTCTCCAGTATTTTCCAGGATTCTCTTGTATTCTCTCATTGAAATATTTACAATAATCTCCCATATTTTTAACCTTTCTAAAAATAATAAAACCCTGCAGGGCGTTTTGAAATGTTTGCGACGCTTCCCTCCAGTAAAGCAGGTGGCAGTATGTAGAACATTAGCTGTAACAGTGGCAAGAAGTCACCTTCTAATAAAACAAAAAGAAGAAGAACAGCTGTGGAGGGGTCCAGGATGGATGATGCATTGATCTACAGAGTATTTCTCTCGAGTAAGCTGTTGTCATTAGGCTGTAACTATGGTAAACTCAGAATTTTTCCTCACATATGTCCCTAAAAATAAAATAAGTACGGACCAGAAAATGTTATTTTCAAATCCCAAACTTGACAGATACGCTATGAAGACTCTCAGGAAGTTCTGCAGCTTCCGCCCCTGCACGTTTTTCACGGCTCCGGTTCTAGAAGTAAATTCCCACCCATTCATTTTAACCCACTGACTTTTCCCAAAAATCCTTTTTTTAACCCTTGAACCGAACCGAGCAGCTACGATATGAATCATGACCATAAAACATTTGAATATGAGCAAAAAAACTATAAGAAAAACAGACATAAAGGAACTACAGATCCCATAAACCATTGCAAATCAGCCCTTTTCCAAAGACGTCCAACCTAACGATAGTCTAGCTGAACTGAATCCTTCCCATAGTGTTTATATTGTTGATATATTGGTACAGCGCTTTGCTTCTGACTGTAATCACTGCTCGGGCGTCCAGCAGGGTCGGTGACGTAGAAGAACCGGTGGATTAGATTTACAAGGTAAAGTTACTCGTCTCGTGATCCAGCTTGTGTAGCTAACGTTATGCTAATATGACGTGATTTAGTCTCAGAGGATAAGCACGGAGCTCTACGGTTCAGTGCTGGCAGGACCCAACATGACATTAGAGGGTTTTAAACGTTCCAATAGTAACAGCGAGCTGGTACAGCTGAGGACTCTGGGTAGTGTAGTACTTCTCTGTGCCATCGCAAATAAACCATATTTTTCTTACAACCAGTTTGATATCATACGGACTTCTACAGGAGCATAAACCATCCACCCCTCCAGGATTTCATGATGTCGTGATCACACCTATCAACACAAATTCAACAAATCGCCGTGAATTCAGCGCAACCTGTAATTTTGACAAATCATCACAACTTTTCTGCAAATCTGACCTCTCGTCTGCGTTTCCTGCTAAACGCTGTCACAGGTCACCAAACTCACTTCCTTGTTCACAAGACGCAGCAGACGTGTGTGATACCAACGTCTCGCATAATCTACAGATATAACAGCAAAGGATTTCTTTACCAAAGCGTCTCCTGACAAACACTTTGAGAGAGGACGTCAGAGAGTCACTGAGACACTGAGGCTGCTGCATCCCGCTCAGCTGCAGGACAGAATCAAGGTCAGCTGGTTTAAATATGCAGGGTCAGGGTCAGGGTCAAGGTCAGGCCCGCCGAGTCCTGGAGGGACCGTTTAATGATTCAGCTACAATTCTAAAGGTAAAAATATCACTTATTCCCACAACAAGACGTCTCCAATCTGTCATCGCAATTCTTTAGAAAAGCTGCTGCAAAATCACAACAGGTCTCTCCACAGCGCCCCCTGCTGCGTGGGGTGCGTACTGGTGACCAGGACTGAGGAGGTGGGGCACACTGAGAGCTTCAGGGTCTCCGTCTGTCCCCGTTTACCTGCTGCACCTTGTGAGTCTGCAGTGTGTCGTGTGTGAACTCAGATAAATGGAATAAAAACTGTAATAAAACAGTTATCTAATAAATTATGTAATGGGGGACGGAACTGATGGTTTGTGTCTTCCAGACCTCCTTGCCTGCCCCCCTAAAGGTGTGGTCCACAACACACAGCCCCTCCACACAACATATCATTCAGTTTACATAATCCTGGACCTGAGGTGGATCACATGGACCCCTCAGGCGGGCAACTTTGGCCCAAAGAGGGGTCCATGTGAACTCATCCCCACCAGTGTGTCACTTTACCCCTGTGCCCCCTAATAATGTGGTCCAGACCTGCCCAGCTCCGAGCTCAGGGTGTAGAACTCCTCCACCGTCCCGTCCCGTCTCGACCCATCCACCCAGAACTCCACCGGCTCCGAACCAGGCCGGGACGTCGGCATGGCAACAGAAGAACTCCCCAAACCAGGACCAAGAGGACCAAGAACCAGTTTTAAGATCACACCAGGACCGGGACTGGCGTGACCCGGTCTGAACCAGGAGCAGAGTAATCCAGATCAGATCTCAGCTTTAAATCCAGCTCGGTAAAACCCAGATTAGAGGAGCAGAGGGGGGATGATTCATGATCCTGATGGGCTCTAATCCAGACCAGGAGGAGGAGGAGGAGGACCCGCAAACTCTCAATCAGGACCTTTTATCAGAGAAACTGAAAAACTCAAACAAAACAAATTCATTAAATCCTCAGTGACACAGAGGGCTCTTTAGACTAGGCAGGAACCGGGATCCAGGCGCACCAGGTCCACATATGTCGCAGCTTCCATCGGGCCTAAAACCCTCTCAGATGTCGGATCACTTCAGTCCATCAACCCTCCCGGGTTTTATTCGTATTTCCGTGTTTCTAACCGGGAGAAACGGTGCGTCCGTCCCTCCGGAGCGCAGCAGCCTCCCGGTGGAGATGCAGCCCGGAGCCGCGACAACAACACCGGAGCGCGGCTGCGTTCTCACCGGGAAACAGGCAGCGAGAGCCGGGCAGGGTGGGTGCGGGACGTCGGTGTTCGGTGCTCGGAGGTTTGATTCCCGGACAGGGCTGTTCCAGATGTCCGCTGGATCCGCAGAGAGAGAGATGCTGCTGTAATCTCACAGCCCCGCCCCTCTGTCACCGTGCCGACCAACCACAGCCCTGCACGGGAGGCAAGCTGCGCTCCCATTGGACGGCCGCCCTGTCCGTCGGTGCAGCCTCTGTCAGCAACCTAAATACAGAAATAACCTAAATACAGAAATGTACATTAGCGTGACATCTTTGGTCCTGCGGGACTCAAACCCGCAACCCCGACACGTCACACGGAAACACGTGATTCTGTTCAACAGTCAGGTGTTCAAACAAGTGAGATGCTGTGATTAGACAAAGCTGCACTTCAACTTTATTTAAATCACAGACAGGAAGCCTCTTCAAACCTGTAAACTTAAAAATAAAAGCTTTAAAGATGAAGTTAAACTTTGTTTCCCTCTTCCTTAAAATGACCTCAAACCTACACACAGGCCTGTCTCTGATTAATCAATACCAATCAATGCTTAGGCCTACAATGGAAATCAATAATGAACTTAATGGGAGGAAATTAATATTTCTGTAAACGTCAGGCAATAACGGTGAAGATAATAAGATAAAGAGCATATGGACATTTATTTACTTTTTATTTGTATAACCCAGAGGTACAATCTGGTTATGTGTCAGCGAGGGTCCTCAAAAGTACAGAAGAATATGGTGTATGAAATTAAAGTGAAATCTCTGTGGGATTATTATCAGGACATTAGATAAACATAAACAAACCCATCAAAAATGGGTAAATAAAAATCTTAATGTAAATATCAGACAAAATAACAAAATATCCGAAAATACTGGTGAAATATCTGAAAATATATTTTTTATAAAGATATTATATCATGCATTCACTGCAGCGGAGCCAAGCAGGAACCTCCGGGTCTGAAAAGTGAAGCCAGTGCTGAAGAGCCTTAAACCTGCGTCCTCTCCAGCAGCCAGCAGGGGGCGACTTAAACCTGCGTCCTCTCCAGCAGCCAGCAGGGGGCGACTTAAACCTGCGTCCTCTCCAGCAGCCAGCAGGGGGCGACTAAACCTGCGTCCTCTCCAGCAGCCAGCAGGGGGCGCCTTAAACCTGCGTCCTCTCCAGCAGCCAGCAGGGGGCGACTTAAACCTGCGTCCTCTCCAGCAGCCAGCAGGGGGCGACTTAAACCTGCGTCCTCTCCAGCAGCCAGCAGGGGGCGACTTAAACCTGCGTCCTCTCCAGCAGCCAGCAGGGGGCGACTTAAACCTGCGTCCTCTCCAGCAGCCAGCAGGGGGCGACTTAAACCTGCGTCCTCTCCAGCGGCCAGCAGGGGGCGACTTAAACCTGCGTCCTCTCCAGCAGCCAGCAGGGGGCGACTTAAACCTGCGTCCTCTCCAGCAGCCAGGAGGGGGCGACTTAAACCTGCGTCCTCTCCAGCAGCCAGGGGGGCGACTTAAACCTGCGTCCTCTCCAGCAGCCAGGAGGGGGCGACTTAAACCTGCGTTCTCTCCAGCAGCCAGCAGGGGGCGACTTAAACCTGCGTCCTCTCCAGCAGCCAGCAGGGGGCGACTTAAACCTGCGTCCTCTCCAGCAGCAGGCAGGGGGCGACTTAAACCTGCGTCCTCTCCAGCAGCCAGCAGGGGGCGACTTAAACCTGCGTCCTCTCCAGCAGCCAGCAGGGGGCGACTTAAACCTGCGTCCTCTCTAGCAGCCAGCAGGGGGCGACTTAAACCTGCGTCCTCTCTAGCAGCCAGCAGGGGGCGACTCCAGCGGCTGCAGAAAGAAGTGTGATTGTATAGAAGTCGATGAGAAAATGTTTCTACTTGTCAGCTGATTTATTCCCTCAGTAAACACTTTCCTGATGAGTTTCTGGTCTCAGTCGCTAGTTTCAAGTCTTCTTCAACACAGCATGATGTTCATTTAGTAAATTATGGTCCCATTTAGAGGAACAGAGACCAGGAAGCAGGGGAGGCTTTAGGGCGGGGCTACAAAATGATTGACAAGTCGCTACCATGGCAACCTGTCAATCAGGATAGAGGCGACTCGTTTCTGCTGCTCTGTACATTTAACCAGCACCGCTGAAAAAGCTCATCAGGAGTCGGCTGCTCATTTTTCAGTAAGAACGTTTAGTTTTAAGCCTGTTTGTCGCTAGCTAAAATTAGCATCCGAGCTAATATCACAGCTAACCTGAATTACAGATGCACCTTGCTAACCAAGCTAGCTAGCTCCACCCTCATTTTTAGAAAAACAAGATGGTGACGGCAAAAATGCCAAACTGGAGGCTTCAAAGCGACAGTCCACAAACCGACAGGGGACATCATGGCGGCTACGTCCTTTTATACAGGTTAAGAGTGGAGACGCCACAGCGCCCCCTGTGGACAAACGCTCTGCTGATATTAAACTTTCTCCTCCAGTTTCCACTCAGTCCACATTATTTTAACATCTTCACAAAAGCGAGAGAATCTGAATCCGTCTTAATATTATTACTGTAAACAAACTTTGTAGATTCGGAAAAATAAAACTCTGGACAGCGTATATCTGACCCAGACAGCAGTGACCTGTCAGGACGGACAGGTGAGAGTGGATTCATTATCACTGAGTGATGTCAGCCGTCCAGATGTGAGCGTGCTCAGTGCTCATCAGTTAAAAGGCTTCGGGCAGGTAGACAGCTGCTGAGCCACGGGAGGCCGCATTAAAGCTGACGGTTAAACTGAACCGCCGCCGACATCAAGACACAAACATGATTAGAAAAGGAACCGTCAGAACCTGTGAAGGTATCCAGATGTTCCCACAGAGGCCGGATCCAGCTGTGACCTGCCACAGAGGGGGGACGGTGCCCAAACACACCTCCACCTCCAGGGAAAAGTCTAGACAGGAGCCAGATGGGAGATTTCATATTGATCCAGGCTCCAAGTCCTTTTATTTGTTTCTGATCCTGTGATACTGTAATGAGCTCATCAAATATTAACCTGTTTACATGTTTAACCAAATTAAAAACAACAAAGATTATTTTTGTCCCTGAGTTTTGCCTGTCAGGTTACACAGAGGCTCTGTGATGGAGGCTGCAGATACTCAGCGACAAAACGTTCACTTCTGTATTTATAATTCTGTTCAGCTGGCTGGATTACAATAACACCTCCTGCCTGTCAGAGAGGAGGAATAACAACAGCAGCAGCAGCAGCGGAGGCAGAAACAGAGTTCTGTCAATGAAATCCTTCATTCTGTAGTTGTTAGTTCTTGTAAATATGTTTGACATTAATGCCAAGAGATAATCTGTTTACATTATTTCTTGAAGAGACATTTGAGCCACAAAAAAGGACACTTACCTAAAACTCTGCTCACTGCAATCCTGTGAAACCTTCAAGATGTGTAGGTACCAGGAAATGTACGTCTATATTTTAGCTTTACTGTAAAACAAAATAACACAAGTGGGTTTTGTTTAAATTGTTGACAAATCAGCTCTGTAATGTAACAATCAATCAATGAAAAAGGATTTATGGAGCACTTTAAACACGGCCATTTAATGTGCAGGTGAGGAGTCACACGGCTTGGACTTGATTGTGTGATCAGTTTCAGATGAGAACGGCCTAAGGTCAGATGTGATTGGACGGCTGCTGATTGATCTATTGATCTCACTAAAGGCAAAGAGAGCAGGTTGGCCTTTGAACAAAGCAGTGAACCTCCAGCTGCTCAGTGTCCTACAGGTGAGACTAAAGTTGTCCAGGTCAGACTTGATTTACGCTTTATCAATATCTGGATCTATGTGTATTGTATTTTAAGGTGTTTTCTGTCTGTCTCTCTGCTGCTCTTACAGGTCAGTTGTCCCTGGAGGACCTAAAGGTTTAACAAAAACACAAAAATTACACTTAACAGCATATTTACCTCTGCCTCTGCTTGACAAATAAACAAATCAATTTAAAATAAGTATTTTAAATTATAATATAAAATTATTTACTATTATATATTGCATACTTTTATATAAAACAGTCATTAGAATCAGGAGCAGAAAGAGCTTTACTGCCAAGTATATTTTACATGTATGAGGAATTTGCTGAGGTGATAAAGTGGTGGACGCAGACAAACATCAAGTTGACATAAATAGATTTAAAAATATATAAATATGGAATAACCAGATGCAGATGTTATAAAATAATTATAGAACTTTGTGTACATGAGAAACAAAACATTGTGGCTGTTATTTACATGCGCAGTAATACTAATTTCTTGATATGTGACAGAAACTAAAGTTACCTTCATAACAGCCCTACATCCTAAACTCCATCCATAAATCTCACAATTTAATGATTAGTCTCATATCAGAAGGTTTTCATGATTTGCTAAATATGATTAATATGTTTTTCTAAAGCTGGAGGAGCCACTCTTCAGTTCGGCATCAATCTGATCTGAAAATATTTAATTTTAGACAAACAGATGACTGTATTTTGTCCATGTTGTTGCCTGAACACAGAATTTATTCGTTATATTGTGGTTGTGTAATTAAAACCCTCCGTGTGATCTTGCAGGCGCCTGGCTTCGCTGATTGGTCGGCAGGAACGTTGAAGTCATTCAGAGGTAGAATTTGCCCCAGAAGCCTCTCCGTGACGTCAGCAGTAGGTGGACGTGAACTTTACATCAACAAAGCCGGAGTTGAGCAAACGCGACGTGTTTCTGGGAAAGTCCGGTTCTGGTTAAAAAGTCCAA